CAAAGCCAGGTTCTCAAGGCTTTCCGGAACCCCCAGGCAAGAGGGTGCTATCCTTGTCTCTGGGGGGTGCGGTTCCAGAGGGTGGGGGCACAACCTGCCTCCTCAGTCCCACGAGATGACACCGTTTCATGGAGGAGACATGGAGTGCACCACTCTGCCAGAACATATTGGGCAGGCAGGAACAGTTGGAGACCTCTGGCTGACCTCTGTGCAGATTTCAGTGTCACTGCTCTTTAATAAGGTTTTGATAAGGTTTTTTGCCTGATCCTGAATAGCTCAGAAGATGCAACATCTCAGACATTTCTTTGAACTGGAATCTGATCAGGAAACAATTGAAGAACACCCAAATGAAATACTACTTACAAAATGTACAGATCATCCAAGAGAAGTCTTTTGTGTGTGTGGGGGGGGGGGGGTCTTCAAGTCAGCCTTGAGTCCTGGAGACTGCCCAGAGAAGTCCCTGCATTTTTCTTGGCAAGATTTCAGAAGTGGTTTGCCCTTGCCCCTTCCTGGGGCCGAGGGATAGAGACTGGCCCAAGGTCGCCCAGCTGGCTTCGTGCCCAAGGTAGGACTAGAACTCTCAGTCTCCTGGTTTCTAGCCTGGGGCCTTTACCACTACACCAAGCTGGGTCTCAAGAGAAGTCCTTAATCAACCTATAACAGTAGATAAAGCTAAAGAAACAGTAAAATGAGGATAAACAGTTTCCTATTAAAACAATACATCTGGATTGGACTGGCTTTGTTCCAAAGAGGTATATGAGAAATAATATTCAACATATTCTAAATGTTATTGATAAGATAAATGAAAAAATACTAAAAATTGGCCATGATCCTTCTTAATGTAGAAAAAGCCTTTGACAGTTCAGAGTGGCTTTTTATGTCTGCAGTATTGAACAAAGATTGGGTTGTGGCTCCAAATTTTTTGCATGGATACAGAGTATTTACAAAGAACAAAGAGCCAAAATTATAGTAAATAATATAGTCAGTTACACTGACCACCAGGAGGTACCACATGACCGGTTCTGTCTGGCGTGGGACTCCTCAGACATGAGTAGCCCAGTGTTATTCAATGGGGTTCCAACCTTCTACTAGGAATTGAATTGACAGGCCTTTGCACTTGAGATGACTACCTGGAGTCTACCGGCTTTAAGGACTGTCCAGAGGCTGGACTTCAGGATTCCAGGAAGCTACTGGAATGGGCAGGACACCCCAGCTTCGCTCAAGCTCTCAGGGCAGAGAGATGCCGATGCAGCATAATGCCGTTCCCCTGTATTTATGGTTGGTTGGTTGGTTTATTTATTTATTATTGAATTTATATGCCACCCATCTCCCCCAGAGGGTGACTCTGGTGGCTTACAATTAAAAACCAAGACAATAAAAACAATAAAAATACCCCCTGATTAAAACACAAATAACAAATCTATAAAAGCAATATACAAATCAAGAAGATGGGGGAAGCAGCATCGACCATCCCACGAGGCAGTTCCAGTAACGCAAGCCCCCATCCAGCCCCCAGGACATCCTGCATGGCCATGTTTTTACACCTTTTCGGAGGGCCAGGAGAGTGGGGGCAGCCCGCACCTCAGCTGGCCTGCTGTTCCGCAGGGCGGGAGCCACGGCAGAGAAGACCCCGCCAGCTGAAATGCCTTGACTGGCGGGGTCTGCAACACGCCCCTTCTGCCGGCCCGAGTGGGGCGGGCAGATATAACGGGGACGAGACGGCTCCTCAGATAACCTGATCCTCTGCCATGAAGGGCTTTAAAGGTGATGACCAACACCTTGAATTGGACTGGAAGGAAACTGGCAACCAATGCAGCTCGCGTAACAGCAGTGTTATGTGGGCCCCCCTGGAGGCGTTCAAGATTGTCCACGCCACTGCATTATATGCCAGCTGTATGGGCTTATATGACTTCTAATCCAAGGGGGGGGGGGATTTTTCCACAGTTTTCAATGACATTGACCACCAGAGGCAGGCAGGCTGATTCCATCCTATTTGGGACTCATCAGACTAAAATACTTTTGGATCCCAACACACCCAACTTTCATACCAAATAATCAGACCCAAATGGTTTTGTCTCTCTACAATAATATGAGGAAAATATACCTTTGGGTGAAAGAAGCAAGTTTTTAGAGGCCTCAGATGAATGGGATCGCCTGAATAAAACTGAAACATAAAGGAATGTGCCGCACAGCACCTTTGAAGCTGGTGTGAACTAAGCTGATTGTAAACTCCTTATCACAAACATCCCCACAGCAACTTAAGGGAGGATGCCTCCTTGCTGGCATTTGGCACCTTGAACTAATTAGTTTCTTCTTTTCTTCTTCCTAGTAGATAGCAGTTGACCTTGTAGATAGCAGATAACAGAGGGTCAGAAAGTGACTTGAGAAGCATGGCTCATTTAGGCATGCCTGCATCATCATATGAATATGTATACGGATGTGCTCTTTTCCCCTCCCCTTCTTCTACAACTGTATAAATATCAGGGCATCCATTTTGCCTACAAGGAGAGTGTCTCCCACTAACCTTTGGTGGGGTCCCCCTCCAGTGGGTACTGCCTAATAAACACTGCAGTGAAGCCTTGTTTATTTTGCATTTGTGTCCTGCGCTTTGATTCCACAATACCATAAATTAAAATTATTTGCCAATAATAGTTGTACTTCTTATTGCCCAACCTAAAGGCTCTTTAATACCATTTAATACACACACCTGCTGACATAGATTTTGGCACAGAAAGAGAAACAAGGTGTGTACCAAGGGTGGTGTACTGTCAGGTTCAGCCCAAAGAACTTCATGAGACAGTGCAATACAGTTCGGTTGCGTTTATTAGCTTCCACCTCAAGACAGAAATCTCTCCAGACCGAACCTCAGTTCCCAGGCCAGCGAGCCCCAACACCGTGAATTCCTTAGGGTGGTGCCCATCTCATCTTCTTAAACTTCCCATGCTCCTGTTGAGGGCTAAGGAAACACTTATCGCCCTGAGCGTGGCCTTCATAACTCCATTCCATCACATGTACAAACATTAAAATACAAACACCAGGGCATACAATCCCTGGTGCCCAAGGACC